TTTGAACATTAAAGCATGTCAACATATTCTGTTACACCAAATACACAAAATAATGATCTTTAAAATAGCATCATATGACCCCTTTAAAAATAATTTAAATGTCTTTCCTCATGTATTACACTTAGTGGGTACCTAAAATGTACCTTGAAAAATTTCTGAAAAGGCTTAAATTACATTGTATGACAAACTATTCTTATACTTCATTACTTTATTAATAATACACATTTTCCATTTGCAGTTATATAATATGCATTATAACATGTTGGTTTTTATAACCTAGTGCTGCAAAAATGTTCTTGACCCGATCCCTGGAGATGCGCCAGCGTGTGCTAGGGCCGGATCACACTGACTGTGCCCAGTCTCTGAACAACCTAGCTGCGCTCCACAGCGAGAGGAAAGAGTATGAGAGTGCCGAGGAGCTGTATGAAAGAGCGCTTGACATCCGCAAACGAGCACTTGCCCCAGATCATCCCTCTCTCGCCTATACCCTCAAACACTTGGCCATGCTTTACAAACGCAGGGTGAGAAACCACAGGAAAGGGTTACAACTCACCAGCTCTGCAGAACATGTAGCAATCAAGTGGCAATTATGCATACATTCATTCTGAAATGTTTGTCTTTGTGTGCTTTTGTCTTTTTAATATTATTAATGAATCTGTGACCCTTTTTAATGGCTGGCTGTCTTTGTTTGTCTGTGTGTCTGATAGGGGAAGCTGGAAAAGGCAGTGCCACTATATGAACTGGCTCTTGAAATCAGAGAGAAGAGCTTCGGGCCTAAACACCCCAGTGTGGCCACTGCTTTGGTTAACCTCGCAGTGCTCTATTGCCAACTGGTGAGAAACGTCTCAGACTTCACCCACCTGCTGTGTTGTCAAACTTTCCAGTCCACTCTGTTATCTGATGATGTGACTCATGTGATGTGTGTTTGTGTTGCAGAAGCAGCACAGTGATGCATTGCCTTTGTACGAGCGTGCTCTAAAGGTATATGAGGACAGTCTCGGCCGACTGCACCCTCGTGTTGGAGAGACTCTGAAAAACCTGGCAGTACTCAGGTTAGCCATGTTTTATTAGCTCAGCTGTACTGGTTAGATTTAGATTAAATTCATGGCACATTCAACAAATGTGTTAGGGGCCATTCACACAGAACTGTGTGACAGCGCAAAATTATTACAATACAAGGATAATATTACACTGTAAGGAAAAGATTTGACAGTTTTGTGTTAATCCAAAGTTGGCATCATTTGGAGTCTTCACAAATGTTGTCGTCATCTGAAATCTTCACAAAAAGACAAATATTTACAGCAGTCAAATATGGAGTGCCTCAAGGATCTGTATTAGGCCCCCTGCTGTTTTGATTATACATGCTGCCCCTTGGAAACATTTTATTACAATTTGTAAATATTGTATCTTAATGTAAATAATAGAGGAAAAGTGATTAACCATATCTAGAAACCAGAATTTTTAGAATTTGGACCACATAGTAACTATATAGCAACCATCCAGAACACCCTAGCAACCTCGTAGCACCAACATGGCAACCACTCTCTTACTTTCTCAGCTACGAAGAGGGAGATTTCGAGAAGGCCGCTGAACTGTACAAGCGAGCAATGGAAATAAAGGAGGCTGAGCCGTCTCTGGTGTGTGGTAAGGCCCCCTCACATCACTCATCCAGCGGCGACACCTTTAGCCTGCGAAGCCCCGCCCTGCCTCATGCCTCAAGGTGACACCTGACCCCTCAACACTTAACTAAACTGAACTCTTACCTCTAATAATAAAGCCATATTGGCCACACTTGCTGTGTTCAGGCATGTGCTTGAAGTCTACATGGAGCAATCAAAGCATGGTAAGAAAACATTGGGATCCAACTTGGTTCTCATTCCTACTGTAATTTACAGTATAAATCATCAGTGTTTTAATGTATCATTCATTGCCACTGGGTTTATAAAAGGTGCTCTCTGACAGAAAACCGGAGAAAGTGTTTTATTCCTGTGATTTTCAATAACTGTTGAAACACAGCACTCCATGTCATCAGCGTACCAATGACATTTCTAATGCACTGCTGTTAAACTGTGAGGTGTAGTAAAGTCACTATGACCAGAATAGTTTTATTTATGGAGGGCCACCTCAGAATTACAAAAAAAAGATAATTGTGAGAAGTTTAAATACATTTTGGAGATATAAAGTCACAAGATACTACATTTACATTTAGTCATTTTGCAGACGCTTTTATCCAAAGCGACTTACAATTTGGGGATACATAAAGCGATTCTTCTTAAAGAGGCAAACAGATACAAGTCTGTAGCATAAGGCTTGTCCAGATGAATGTTGAAGTTGTTGCAGTACTATGTTGCAGTTGTGAGATATGTCACAATTACGAGATATGAGGTCACAACTGCAAGAAATAAAGTCTAAATTACTGTATAAAAAATAAGGTTGCAATTGAGAAATTATGAGAAATAACACTTAAGTCACGGGATATGAAGTTGCAAATATATGAAGTTGCAATTGCAATAAATAATGTTGCTATAAAATATGAAGTAATTTGGAGAAATAACAATGTAATAATGAGATGTGAAGCTGTGTTACAAATACGATACATAAATTTGCAATTGCGAAATATGAAGATATGAAGTGGCAACAGTGAAAATAGCATCACAATAACAAGATATGAAGCCGCAGTTACGAAATGTGAAGTTGCAACTGCAAGAAATAGTGCCCCAATAATTTTTTTTCTTCTCTCATATGGCAAAAGGCCTTATTAGCTATTGATTGTTCATGCAATGGAAAATATTATTTACATTTTCTCTCAATATTAATATACATTTGAATAGTTTTTTCCTCCAATTATCACTATGGCAAACTTTTTTTATTATAAACTTGAGTACAAGTCAAATAACTGTTAAAGTTCAACATGTTGGTTGAAGAAATAGAATTACCTTTGTAGTTTATACAAAGTATTAGTATATATTAGCATATACTAATATTAGTCAGTATTAGTCTCTTCCAAAGCACTTTTCACTTGCATGGTACAACAACTTTTTGGAAACAAATATAGTCACATTGCATGAGAACTGAGATCCCGAAAAGCTTATGTGTGACCAATTTCAGCACATTTTTTTTCAGGTTTCTATCACTGCTGCCTTCAGCATATGCAAATTACTCTGAGTGCAACTAAAGACAAAGTCAAGCATAATGGAAGTTCGCATCATTTTAGAGTTGCAATACAATGACTAAATACCTTCCTGTAAACATGTAAAATAAATCTACAGTGTTCCAGAGTCTCAGCTCCTTCCTCTGGTCTATGACCTGCTTCCTGTCATGCAAAGTAACCTTCACCATCACTTTAAAATGCAGAACTGTTGTAAATTGCACAGCAATACTAAAGGGCAGCTGTCATACATAGCCATACAAAACATTATAACATATCAAGATAAAGTTAATCAATCAAATGAGTGATTTTATTGTATTCAGTATTTTATTTTATATGGTCTCACATTATTGAGAGGGAGCATTAAATGGTTCAACACCACAGAACACAGCATGTGCAATACTTATGCTTTTTGTACTGCATTATGACAGTGTCAATATATGTAGTTTAGTTTATACAATGACTGTTCATCTGAAAAGTGCATCTATAATAGATCCATATGATATTATGAACCATATTTTTGTGTTTAGAAATAGTAGTGCTGTTTATTTTTATTTTTTTATTAAAAAATACTTAAAGGGGTCATATGATGCGATTTAAATTTTTCCTTTCTGAAATCAGTCTAATGTGCCTCATTTTGTAGCAAAATCATCTTTGAACTGTTGGATTCTGGTAAAACATGCTATAGATTTAATAATTTACTCTAAACTTCCATTATGGCTTGTATTGCATCACAGTGTTGTCTTACAATTTGTGCCAGGACTTAAGAGACGTTTTATTCACTGCCAAAAGAGGTGTATTTTATACCCAAATTCTTCTAATGCACATGATCCATGCACAAAATAATATCATTGTGTATTATTTACCAATAAATGCATAATTGAATGAAAATAACAGTTGTAGAGGTTTTTACTCAATGCAGAGGAAAACGGATTTCACAACTCTCACTAAAGCTTCTTTCAATTGATCTACTAGTTTAAATGCAGGAAAAGCAAAATGGAATGTAACAACAAATTTATTTTTTCTTTTGCATTATTACAATGTTATCCCATTCAATACAGCAGTCAGAATCAGGCCGATGATGAAATGTCAGAAAATAATTTAGTTGTGTTCTTTATAACAGCTGGCTGGGTGTCTACAAGCACATTCATTATTAGACATGACAATTACATATTTAGAGGTGTGACTGAAGTCTTATCTGTTTTCGTCGCATAGCTGTTAACAACAGCTATTTAAATCAATCATTCAGATTAGTTCTATTAACCATTCCATGCCAACTCTGAAACATTAACACTGTGAAAACAAAAGATCAACAGTGATGGCAATTCAGTATTAAGACTTTCAGTTGAAGTAAACCTGTAAACATCTTGAGTGTTACAGGCTGCTTGCAAAAACAGAATAAAAAAACTAAATCCAAACTCATTTAATATGAGACCTCAGATGTTACATGTGTATAAGTACAAAATAATAACGAGTTTGTCTTTAGTGTCTCTGTTAGAGTTCAAGGAAGTCATTTTCCTCTTGCTTGTTGTTTCCTTACATCTTCTTCATCTGAGCCATCAGCTCTTCTAAACTCTGGTCTGTTTCCTCCACCGTCTCCCCTGATCCTCCATCCTGGCAAAGAGAAAGAACACATGGAGTATTACACATTCATGGTAGTCAAGAGAGAGTAATGATTACCAAGGCTGCATTTATTGTCAAATATTATTACAATTTAAAATTCCATTTAATAATGTCATTTATTCCTGTGAGGAAAAGCTGAATTTTCAGCAGTCATAACTCCAGTCTTTAGTGTCACACGATCCTTCAGAAATCATTCTAATATGCTGATTTAGTGCTCAGTAAACATTTCTTCTTATCAATGTTGAAGACAGATGTGCTGCTTAATATTCTTTGAGAATTAGAAAGTTCAAAACAACAGCATTTATTTGAAATAAAATTCCTTTGTAACTTAAATGTCTTTACTGTCAATTTTGATCAATTTAATGTATTCTTGCTGAATAAAAGTATTTATTTATTTAAAAAAAAAATTAAAAATTACTGACCACAAACGTTAGTTTTAATTATTTGTCAGGTAACTGCATTTTATGTTTTCAATGATCATATAAGCATCCGACCTAAACCAAAAATCACATCAAATATTATAAAATGTAACCTCACTGCCTGTCAAATTTTTTGATAATGCAGGAAAATTCTGAATAACCAAAGTGTTGTGTTATATTTCAGTGGGTCGTACTTTCTCAGGTATGGTGTAGGCTACAGTAATGCCCTCCGGTAGATCTGGCACCGGTCCTGATGCGTCCTGTAGCTCTGCCTCTGACACCTCTGACACCAACTCAATGCCTGGCAGAAAACAACATCACCGTCAAACTTACATAACATTTACAGATTTCTGTTTTATGAATGAGGAATCTGATGTGTGTGGGATGCCAACCCCATTCATTGTCCTCATGCACCACTACTTCTTCTTCTTCCTGTACTGCTTCCTGCTTCGGCCGCTCTGCTTCTTTTTTCTGGAGTAAGTAAGGAAGGAATAAGAGATTATATACTGTTAGTATTAATACTTTACTGGTTTTTGTCACAGTATGCCTTTGTTTACATTCGGTAACAGTCGGTGTTTATATTTTGGAATTTTTTTAAACAATTTAAAAAAATAAGTCATGTTCAACAAATCTGAAACTACTTCAAAGACATGCAGTTGCAGAAAATTTATAAAAAATTAACTAAAATTTAATATAAACTTAAAAATAATAATACATTTTAATACTTTAATACTTTTTTTTTTTTTTTTTTACAAAAACAAGTTAACAGAATCAAGAAAAAAAACGTCCAGAATTAAGAATTTAACAATGTTGTGGTTAAATAATATGTAATTATTAATCAATAAATCACTCTTTGATTAAACTATCAAGGTGTAAAAAATTCAGATAAAAATTAAATGTTTTAATATTTGCATTTGTAGGAGTGTCACCTTGTACTCATCCTGTTGTCGTCTGCAGTGTCTGTCATCACACTGTGGGTTGGCCTTCATTGCCATGCTCGGGAAGAAATCCTGCATGGCATTATAGCCCAGGTAATAACTCACTGTCCCAAACCCCAACAGATACCTACAACACAGACAATTTCATTCCACACAATGTGTTTTAATGTCCTTCGGAAAACTACTGACATGCCAAGACCTCTGAGGATGTGAAATGACCATGGGGTGATGGGTTTGGCTGATTAGTTAGAATGATTCAAGTCGGTTCAGTTACAAAAATGGCTTTATTACAAAGTATTCAGTACAGCTAAATTGAAATAGGATGCATCGCAGCCTGTGGTAATGGTGTAATCTTATCCCTGTAAAGCCTGATATATGAAATAATAGTAAGTCGTATTTTTTTTAAATTTCTTTTTTAAATCTTTATTTGAACCTTTAGATAAAATATTCTAAAAATAAATAAAGTTTGTATTTTTTGAGTATCATTATGTCAGGCTTTTATGGCTCATATAGACTGTTTCAAATGTTTACACAAGTGACATAGCAGTAGGATTTCAGTAAAATAAACATACAGATTTTAGTTTTTCAAAAGTGTTTTTGTTTTATTTCTCATATCTTATTAGATAACTTCTTAGGTAAACGGAAAACCTACGTAAAGAGGTTGTTCTACCTTATTTAATAAGCAAGTGACAGTTCTCATGCAATATGGGGAAGAAAAAAAGATCTATCTGAAGGTGAAAAGCAAGAAATAGTGCAACGTCTTGCGAAAGGCATGAAAGCAACTAATATTTTCCAAAAAATGAATAGAGATTAACACACTTTCAAAAGATTTGTGAGCGATTTGGAGCACAGAAGAATTTGGTCAGATAAAGGCTTATTAAGGAAAGTTTCTGTCAAACAAATTATCTGTATTGAAAGGGCAGTTAATAAAAACAAACTGATGAACAGCAAACAGGTATTTGAAGCTGCTGGTGTCTCTGGAGTTCCAAGAGCATTTCATGCAGGCTGGCAGTTGTGCATAAAGCTGAATTTCAGGCACCCTAACCAAACCTCACAAACAGAAACCTTTACAAATGGGTGTAGAATTACATGAAAACTAATTTTTAAATAGTTTAAATAGATCAAATACCTGTTTGCTGCTCAAGAGTGGCTTATTATTATTATTATAGCTGCCCATTTGATTCAATTAATTTGTTTGACACAAATCGATGTCACTTGCATAATAATTTGTAAGAAAGTAGTACAATATAGTGAGAATATGGTGCTCATACTCAAGGAAGAAAAAAAACACCTCAATTTTATTCAGAGGCCCAAAGTGAGCAAAAGTATACAAAATGAGAAGTATTTTTTCTAACAAATTATGTATGGATAATCAAGTAAACCCAAGTTGCTTCAGTCCACTAAGTGTTAATCTTGAAAAATTACTAAAAATGGAAAAGTTATTATGTTTACTTAACATAAATCATTAAAGATTTCACAGCAAAAAGACATGAACCACAACCTTAAGTGGGATGTTTTAGAATTATTCTTTAATTGCTAAAAAGTATAACTATCAATCAAATGAAAAAAGTCATGTAATAGACTGTGAACACGAGTTTTTCAGTAAAGCTGGTCATGTTGATTTAGAGACCTTGGAAATTTGCATATCAAATATGATACAGTAGGCTTTATAGGGATAAAAACAGCGTGGTTAGGCCTGTGCCAAATCATCAGGATAGTGATGAGGTCTTACTTCAGGACATTCTGTACAAGGAGCCCGGCGACCACTCCCATTGTGGTGGGCAGACTGGCGGCACACACTCCATCCCTCTTCAACGTCTTCTCGTCGATATTTGCAGCCACTACGAGGGGAGGTGCACACTGACACACACACAACTGGATCAGATCACTGTTTCCCACCCATCTGAGATTTGACAGAAATAACCAATGTTTTATAAACGGGTGCACATATGTTTTTCAGTCTGTTTCTCAAAAGAGCACCTGGAGATTTGGTTTGGTCCTCACACTGCACATAGTGTGACCCATTAAATATAACTATAAAGAAATAAAATGAATAAAACAATGCTCAAAAATACAACAACGCTAAATAACATTTAAGAATAATAGAAATATGAGATTTCCTAATAATGAGATAATGCAAATGCGCTTTTTTGGGGAAAATAAAAATAATAGTGATAATAATATTGCACTTTATTTTTTTTATAAACAAAAGAATAAAGTGTTACTATTATATTTAAATACTATTATATTTATTTACTATTATATATTTAAAAATAAAAAGTGAATATTTAATAAAAATACAATTATTTTATAGTAAACAACAATAAAATGCTAATATTTACTTTTTTTTTTAAATGTGAATTTTCATCATTTTCAAACTTAAAATCAGAAAGCTTTTTTGTTGCCGGTGTTGTGCCCAATTATGACCCTCCCGCCAGATTATTACCCCCCTAGTATTGGTAGGTTTAGGGTTAGTTATGGGGGAGGGGTTAGTATTAGGCAATCAGGTAGCGACTTATACAATATTACAGTTTGTTGATCTAAAATTGTAATTGTGCATTAAAGGGGTCATATGACGTTGCTAAAAAATAACATTATTT